TAAGACACAGGCTGTAATTTAAAAACATATTATGTTAATTGTGGGAAATATAATGTTGTGATGCAGATGATTGCGCTGGACGCTGGACCAGATCTAAATATATATAACTCAAAGGTGACTGACTTAGTGATCTATCAACGCACAAAGGACAACACGCAAGTTTTCTTTCTCGTTCTTCTTGTGGTCAGTTTTCTGAATAAGTCAAAATTCAAATTCAAATTCAAAATATCTTTATTCGTGTAGGTCTATTACAGACTCTTATGATATGTCAAATCTACCGTCAGTTCGGAATGATTTCAAGATGAGAACTGACAAGGAACTCAGCTCGTATTCTTTTCAAATAAATGTTGTACATGTTTACAATAACACAGATTAATTTTTAAATTTGTTATATATATATATATATTATTTTAATTCTAATACTGACTGTGATGTGCATTTGTTTCCTATATCTATACTATTTACTATATATAATCTATATACTACTACACTATATATATATATTATAAACAGGATATATCAAACACTAAGGAACTAAAGGATTTTTTATTAAAGAAGTATAATCTTTTATTAAAATGTAATCTATACATATAAATAAAATTGATGTGTCTGTTTGTAATATAAAAACAACCGTTTTGCATATGAATATAAATACGGTTCATATACCAAAATAATATTTTTTTGTAGTCTGTAATAGACCTACATGAATGAAAATATTTTGAATTGATTTGATATATGCGTAAATATAATCTATACATATAAATAAAATTGGAGTGTCTGTTTGTAATATTGAAATAACCATTTTTCACTACAAGCATATGAATATAAATACGGTATGTACTAAAATAACAATTTTTTCAATTTTTGTCTCTCTGTCTGTCTGTCGGATTGATCCGGCTAATCTCTGAAATGGCTGGACCAATTTTGACGGGACTTTTATTAGCGGGCAGCTGACGCAATAAGAAGTGACTTAGGCTACTTTTATTTTTATACATATAAATAAAACTAGAGTGTCTGTTTGTAATATTGAATTAACTGTTTTTCACTACATGCATATGAATATACATAAATACGGTACATACACCACAATATCATTTTTTTCAATTTTTCTCTGTCTGTCTGTCTGCCTGTTTGTTCCGGCTAATCTCTGAAATGGTTGGACAAATTTTGACGGGACTTTTACTGGCAGGTAGCTGATGTAATAAGGAGTAACTTAGGCTACTTTTATTTTAGAAAAATAAAGTTAAATTCCACGCGGACGAAGTCGCGAGTACAGCAAAATAAGAAAGATGATCTGGGCAGGGTTTTAATGCAATATCTGCCAAGTGACCTTGACCTTCTGAGTCGATTTTATTACTGTGTTGACACGCGGACCGGCATGTTTCATATATTTACACATAGATATTGTAGATTTCGTACATAATAATAATAATAATATTTATTTCAGGCTTTTTTGTTTATTTTGTTAGTATTACATTTTTTTGAGAGTTAATTATAGTAAATAGCTACACGCCCCGGCTTCGCACGGGTGGGCATGTATTATATATATACTAGCTGTCCCGGCAAACGTTGTTTTGCCTTAATATAAAAAAAAAATTAGGGGTGGATAACCCTTAACATTTAGGGGGATGAAAAATAGATGTTGGCCGATTCTCAGACCTACTCAATACGCTCACAAAATTTTATGAGAATAGGTCAAGCCGTTTCGGAGGAGTATGGGAACGAAAACTGTGACACGAGAATTTTATATATAAGATAAACATTCCTCTTGAATCACTCTATCTATTAAAAAAACCGTTTCAAAATCCGTTGCTTAGTTTTAAAGATTTAAGCATACATAGGGACGGACAGACAGCGACAGCGACTTTGGTTTTATACTATTATGATGATAATGATAATCATAAACACAAATTACACACAGAAAAATAATAATAACTAAAATAAAAATATATTAAAATTTAAATTAAAAAATAATTTAATCATGTGGGTCATTTTAGCCGCTTATGAACGTCAAACTTTTTATATTATAATTTTTCCCTGCCGGCAGTATATAGATTCAATTGAGAACTCGCAAGAAACTCAATAGTTTCCCTACCGTCCAGTTCAGTATATAGATTCAATTGAGAACTCGCAAGAAACTCAACTTTTTCCCTACCGTCCAGTTCAGTATATAGATCCAATTGAGAACTCACAAGAAACTAAATTTTTTCTCTACCGTCCAGTTCAGTATATAGATCCAATTGAGAACTCACAAAAAACTCATTTTTTTCCCTACCGTCCAGTTCAGTATATAGATCCAATTGAGAACTCACAAAAAACTCATTTTTTTCCCTACCGTCCAGTTCAGTATATAGATCCAATTGAGAACTCACAAAAAACTCATTTTTTTCCCTACCGTCCAGTTCAGTATATAGATTCAATTGAGAACTCACAAGAAACTACATTTTTTCTCTACCGTCCAGTTCAGTATATAGATCCAATTGAGAACTCGCAAGAAACTCAACTTTTTCCCTACCGTCCAGTTCAGTATATAGATCCAATTGAGAACTCGCAAGAAACTAAATTTTTTCTCTACCGTCCAGTTCAGTATATAGATCCAATTGAGAACTCAGAAGAAACTAAATTTTTTCTCTACCGTCCAGTTCAGTATATAGATCCAATTGAGAACTCACAAGAAACTAAATTTTTTCCCTACCGTCCAGTTCAGTATATAGATCCAATTGAGAACTCGCAAGAAACTCAATTGAATTACTTTTTTTATGTACAATGGAAATAAAAAACAATCTTATATCACATAATACTGTAGTTAACAATAATCCAGGATTACTCATACAACGCTATACAGTTCTAAACTGAGTTTTAAATCACGATTAGAAATCATCATGATCTGCTTCTTCCTTATCCCATTTATTTGTGGTCGTAATATGTTTTTCTCTTCCATTCATCCCTGTTCGCAGTCATCGCGTTATTCACTCCCTTTCTTACCATATCATCTTACACACAGTCCATCCATCTCTTTTTCGGTCTTCCTCTGCAATTATAACCATCCACATTCATATGTAACACCTTCCTTCCTTCCTTAATCTATAATATAATTATGAATATAATATAATTATAGATTAAATTTTTTTACATTCTGTTACGAAATACATTTATGAATATTATAAATCACTGTTTATAGTTTTGAGTGCTGAATAATAGATGGTAGTAGTTGAGTTTAAGTTATGCATCAGATTTGATTCCCATTACTGTGGCCATAAAGTTAGCGATTATACTAAAAAGACGATAAAAATTATAAAAAAAATTACGATGAAAGTCCCGTCAAAATATAGGTATATGTAGCCTTTCAGAGACTGGCAAGAACACACAGAAAGGCGGACAAAAATGATTAAAATTAAGTTTTTTAATTAAGTGCTTTTATACTTTCATATGTATGTATTTAGCGAAATTACGACGAAAGTGTCGTTAAAATATAGTTATACTAACTACTCGCCCCGGCTTCGCACAGGTGTATTATATATATATATAAACCTTTCTCTTGAATCACTCTATCTACTAAAAAAATTACTTCAAAGTCCGTTGCGTAGTTTTCAAGATTTAAGCATATATAGGGACGGACAGACAACGACAGCGACTTTGTTTTATACTATGTAATGACGATACAGCCTTTCAGAGACTAGTACGTACACACAGACAGCCAGAAAAAATGATTAAAATTAAGTTTTTTAATGAAATACCGTGTTTACTATCATAACATACATTTATACGTTTAGAGAAGAGATGTTAATATAAAATTACAAACAGATATATTTATTATTAAGTAGTATATAGATTCTTTGTTTTTTATTAATCCCAATTTGTTTTTTGATGTGATTCAGATACAATAAAACAAAGGCATTCAATAAAATAAAGCAAGGCTTTAGGCCATTTTCAACTAAAACGGTATAATTTTCGTAGAATAGAATAGAAAATTCTTTCTTCAAAATTTAAGCACTTTTTAATAGTCTTATATACTTTTTAATCTACTGCTCAGAGAGAAGGCTTCTGTTAGTAACATTGACTAATAACTCTATTGCTAGCAACGTACCATATCAGGTTGACCTCCACGTGATTCCCCCTAGAAACCATCATGATAAATTCATGGTAAAATTACCACGATGGGCTAACTGACTTGATATCATGCTCATCTTATCATCCTCCACTAGTTCCATTGTCATCCAGAAGAAAAAATCTACCAATAATTCGGAATGATACATCACACCACAAGAAGAACGAGAAAAAACTTTTTTTTACACTACTATGGTAGCAAACGAGCATACGGTCCATCTGATGGTAAATGGTTATCGTAGTATGGACGCCTGAAGCACCAAGCACTTTCGTGTATCCTTTTATATAAGTGTTGTAACTTTACATTTTTAAATGAAATGTGTGATTACAAACTACTATCATCATCATCTGCTTCTTCCTTATCTCATTTATTTGTGGTCGTCGTAATATGTTTTTCTCTTCCATTCATTCCTGTTCGCAGTCATCGCGTTATTTACTCCCTTTCTCACCATATCTTTCACACAGTCCATCCATATCTTTTTCGGTCTTCCTCTACCCTTATAAACATCCACATTCATATGTGACAACGTCCTTAGGCTATGATCTTCATTCCTACGCACTACATGCTCATACCAATATAGACGATTACTCTTCAACCTCTCCGACATCGGTGCCACTTTCACACTTCCTCTGAATACCAACTAGCAACTAGCACAAATTTTTGGAAGACTCCAAAAAAAATTGGGTTGGTTGGTAGTCTAATACTCAATTGTAATCTATAGGAGGTTTTTATAGCGGATTTCGTGGCCCCACAAATATGATCAGGAGTGTTGCGCAGGCGCACTTCACATGGTGAAAGTGACATGAGTAGGGAGGGGCCGGCTATATGAACGTGCCGTGTGCCCGCGCGCCGCACTCCCGCGCAACCTTACAGGTGAGCTTCGGAAGCCGTGCTATATGTTATACTCGTAGGACTCCTCGCTGATCCTTGTGATAAGTGCTTTAGTGGTAGTGAGTGTAGATGTGATACGCATCGTCTTACGTAACACTTTTATTTTAATCTGTGGTTTGGTATAGCATTTCTATATATATTATTAATTACTATCTATGATTTCGTCCGCGTCCGTGGATTATTACTTTGTTTTTATTAAAATAAATCTTGCTATCTGTTACCCGAGATTCATCCGCATGAAATTTAACTTTTTTCTTTTTTATTAAAATCTCTAAAACAAAAGTATCTTAAGTTACTCTCAATTACATTCGCTATCTGCGAGTGTAACTCCCGTCAAAATCGGTCCAGAGGTTTCAGAGATTAGGAAGAACAAACAGACAGACAGTTAGACATATTTTTAATTTTTTTTTTCATGTGAGTACCATATACCGTAATATTTTGTGAAAAGCAGTTAATTTGAACGTACAAACAGATATTTTAATTTCTTTATTTGTATCACTACTTTGTGTATTGTGTTATTGATTTGTATAGCACATTTAATTTGTATTTATTGTACTTTTAAATGTGAATGAAGGTAGGTTCATATATTTAATAGTTTTGGGAAATTTTGTAATTGGTGTAGCAGTATTTTACATTATCATCAAATGGAATCAAACCCGTAAGGTTTGATTTCCTCACAATTCTAACGGGTATTTAACTATTTTTTTTTCTGTATACAATACTATGTGCTCTTAATTATGTTTATTTTATGATGGAGAAGAGAAGTGTGAATGACGATTAAGAAAAAACAATATTTTGACGATTTAAGTTATACATCTATAGTGATGGCCTTTGCTTGATTTGTGGAAAATCATTTCGTTTTACTTAGATAAGTAAAATGAAGCTATAAAACAGATCAATAAGACAGTAATTACTGTCATAAAAGCCAATATACATATAAAAACATAATCCTTCACATTTGAACGTTCTGCTTAACTTGGGACTAGATGGCGCTGTGTAAATTGTCCTGAGATATTATTATTCTTATATAAGCTGTGTTTTCGTTGAAGGTTAAGAAAAAGCAGGGAAATTTCAGGTTATACCAGCATGACACTTTGGGAATGGCAGTGATACAGTTTCTGTTTTTTACATCAGCTGGGTTTTAGCTTTAATCAAACTGATAATTCAATTATATAATGTTTTATTGCAGTTAGTTGTGAAGATAGAACAAGCTGATCAGTGACAATGCAGTCTTCTATGCTGTGCATGCTGGTGTTGGTGGCGGCTGTGGCTGCAGCTCCTCAGAGAGAAGGAGCCGCCTTCACGAAGGAAGCTATTAAACAAGCACAGAACACATTCCTCATCCCCAAGGACGCTGAAATCCAGAAGGTAAATATTCAAATCAAAATATCTTTATTCATTATAGATGATATGTCAAATCTACCGTCAGTTCTGAGTGCTTTAGAACGAAGAACTGACAAGAAACAGCTCTAATTCCGTTCAAATGAGCTTGTACAATAAGGAAATTGTAAATTCGACATCACAGAAGACCGAAGAGCTGGCAGCTACCTTGGACAAAGAATTAGTCTAGCTATTCAAAGAGGGAACGCTGCCAGTATCTTCGGAACTTTGCCTAAAGGGACCCCTTTTAATAATATATTTTAGTTATTGTATTATATTTTTTAAGCTTTTTAATTATAGTAATTATAGGTTGTTAGAATTTATCCTTGAATCCTTATTTGCGCATATATGGCTATAGCTATTCTATTAAAATATACGTAGTTCTCTGCTATAATTATCTATCTTTATAAGGAAATACAGATCAAATTATAAATTCAATCAGGGATAACGTAGTTACTACTAGCTTATGTTATTTTGGATATAGATATATAGAGAGATAATAGGAAAATAGAAAAAGAATTAATCTTTATTAAAATAAGTTTAATATAAACACCATTGAGTAGTCCGTGGTCTAGCGGTCTAGCACACCGCTTTACGACCGGTCGCGGGTTCGATTCCTCGCACGGCACAAACATTTGTATTCATGAGTATTGTTTGTATCGGTCTGGGTACTTTTCTATGTATGATATGTATGTATTTACCAAAAAAATATCTGTGTATATATATCAGTTATCTAGTACCCATAACACTAGCTTTAGCTAGCTTAACTTGGGTCTAGATGGCGCTGTGTGAATTGTACTGAGATTATTATTATTATATTTTTATATTCTACCACTCATTCGGAACACAGACTCATCACGAGAATAACGAGCAAGCTTACTTGAGTGTAGCTCTTTTAAATAAATAATTTCGATTTTATCAAATAATTTCATGTCGCGACTTTAGTCATGATTTTTTCTAATATTCTTTCTCTATTATATAAGATGAATTTCAAGTCAATCAACATTCCTTCTTTTATAATCTCAACTCCGATAAAGTACGGTCTTAGTTCGCTAGTTATCTTCTCTTCTGACATACTCTTCTGTTCAAGCGAATCAAAGTGTATTTATATTAGAAGAAACATGTGAGTTGTTACAAATTATAAATCATATTTACTGAGCAAAGTCTATTGCTCACTAAACGATTACTTGAATGACGAGCGTGCATGGCAATAGTTGTTCATGTACGGGATTTTCATTTAATGTTAGACATAGACACCTATATACATCATTACATAGTATAAAACAAAGTCGCTGTCGCTGTCTGTCGGTCCCTATGTATGCTTAAATCTTTAAAACTACGCAACGGATTTTAAGTATTTTTTTTTTAATGGATAGAGTGATTCAAGAGGAAGGTTTATATGTATAATACATGTACACCCGAGTGAAGCCGGGGCGAGTAGCTAGTTGTAAATAAACTAGCATTTAAAAAAAAAGTAATCTAACTGAGTTTCTTTTCAGTTCTCCTCAATTGGATCTGTACACTGAACTGGACGGTAGGGAAAAATTGTAACATAAAAAACTTAACGTTCATAAGCGGCTAAAATGTCCTACATGAATTTAATTTTTTTGTATTTATATTTGAAATTAATTATTAAATGTACACTCTCGCAATATTCTGTCGCTTCTAGAATGCATAGACAGTGGCCACAGATGATTTCCGAGTTATTAAATTACGACGTTACGTACCAGAGAGAGAGTTTGAATTTCTAAATCAAATGTAGATACGGTTGTCGCTGTGTGTAATCAACAGGTTCTTAAATCGACGCGTTGTAATACATAAACAATTGTGTAACCAACAGAAGATCATATTAATAATGCATATTCATTACGTTGTTGATTTTAATTGGTTTTGGTTTGTATTGGTACAATAACGGTCCTTGACTAGATAAGAAACTTATAGATAGCTAGCTACTATATTATCTGATTACACTAATAATGAGTGCGGCTTAGTCCGGGTATACATATATTATATATATAGACCTTCCTCTAGAATCACTCTATCTATTAAAAAAAACCGCTTCAAAATCTGTTGCGTAGTTTTAAAGATTTAAGCATACATAGGGACGGACAGCGACAGCGGCTTGGTTTTATACTATGTAATGATGCGGAGGTTACTAATGTGTCTGATGAGTGAGAGGTGCTGAGGGTTTTAATAAGGAAAATACGGAGATGAAATAAAATGGAACTAATATAACAGCGATATATGTATAATAGAAAGTAACAATAAAGAATATGTCAAAGAATCTGAATATATATAACTCAAAGGGACGTACAGACAGCGACAGCGACTTTATTTTATATTATGTAATGAAGAACAAAATGTATTATTCGTGATAGACTTGGTATATGTAAAATCAAAATCAAAAATGATTCATTCATGTAGGACATTTTAGCCGCTTATGAATGTCAGGTATATTGTATTAATATTTTTCGGATGGCAGGCAGTTTAGTAATTAGATTCAATTGTGAAGAACTGGTTAGAAACTCAACTGAAAGTGAAGACAAAAAAATGTGTTTTAAAACTAGTATTTGGTGTTTATTTGGTTCTGTCTACCTGAATAGAATAAAATAGAATAGAATAGAAAATTATTTATTCAAATAAACTATATTTAAGCACTTCTGAATAGTCATAACAATTTTTTTTATCTACGGCTCGTTCAGGAAGCTGTCTCATCACAATATAGATATATATATCTTGTATATATATACCTATTTATATAGATATATAAATAGGTATATATATACAAGAATCTGTGTGTGTGTATGTATCACAAATGTAACTGGATTTCCATAAATAGTACAACGGAAAATATTACTAAGAATGTTTTGTTTAACATCTTCTAACGCCATTGTTATCTCTCTAGGTGCAAGAAGGCATAGAACTAGCAGCCTATGAGTCAATACCCGGCAACCAGAGGATCAACCTGTTCGAAATCCTTGGCGACCAGGTGCCTTCCGAAGTGATCAACAACTTACAAGGCCAGATCGATAAAGTCGGGCGTAACTAAGCGGCAACTAGGCGGTTGCAGACTCAGTAACCAGCCGTGGAAGGAGGAAACTTGGCAACCGTTACTGATATAATAATGGACTGGAGAGCAATAATTTATTGGTTGTGCAAGTAGACAGTGAATGTGATATTGTGTAACACCTATCTTTTTATACGTTTGTACATAATTTTATTTTAAAAATAAACAACCGTACAAATATATTTTTTCCATTACGTAACACAGTTCCGTTCCAATAGTTACATATTTATGAACGTGTGTGATTTTATACTCCAAACTTATTTATAAACGAGACGTGTTTTATTGTGACTATAAATAAAATCTATTTACAACTAGCTGTACCCGCGACTTCGTCCGTGTGGAGTATAACTTTAAATTTCTAAAATCCCAAAAAAAAATAGGCTACTTTTAGCCTATTTTTATTGGGTTGTTTGGGCTATTGTCAGATGTGTGTATCACCTGTAGCACTGCGACCTACATAGATCTATTGTGCTCGCCCTTTTTCAAAGTTCGCTGCCTAGACCCGTCAGGGACAAGAATTGAAGGATATTCTTAGGAGCGATGGTTTTTATCTCCTCGGGAAAGAGTGTAAACTTTCCAAAGGAGATTTCGTTTATGCATGAGTGGGCTACAACCATATAGGATGTGTAGTGGCGTTTCCTCTTCAGTTTGGCAGAATCTACAGATTTTTGTCGTCCAAAGTAGTCCAAGTTACTCCCTATTACATCAGCTACCTGCCAAAAATGTTCCGTCATAATCGGTCCAGCCATTTCTGAGATTAGCCGGAACAAACAGACAGAAAAAATTGTAAAAAATGATATTTTGGTGTATGTACTGTATTATATTCATATGGATGTAGTAAAAACGGTAACTTCAATATTACAAACAGACACTCCAATTTTATTTATATGTATATATAACCAGTTCTTCTATCAAGTAATATATCAAGCTGAAGAGAAAGGGGATTGTTAGTAATGTGGACTCCTAACCAAATTACTAGCATTGTAATGTTCTGGTAAATTTATTACGATGGGCTCACTGACCTGACATGCTCATCTCATCGTCTTCAACTGGTGACCCGACTGCATCAACCGTTAGAGCAGGCTGGACCATTTTATTATCATACATAAAAAATATATCTATACTAACATTATATATAGATACAGAGAGAAGAGTTTCCTTTAAAGGTAAACTTTAAATAGAATAGAATAGAAAATCATCTATTCAAATAATCGTCGATAAGTCTTGGGCGTCCCGTACTCATATAAGACAACTCACTCAGAACTTTAACTTTACAATGTTTAACTAAGCAGAGCTTAGTACATAGAAATAGAAATAGAAATAATCTTTATTCAAGTAAACTTCATATATTCATATATTTCATACTTTTGAATCGTCAAGTTTTTTATTCTACCGCTCATTCGGAATACAGATTTATCACAAGAAGAACGAGCAAGAAATTGTTGTGTGTTACACTTTTAAATAAATATTTTAATTAACAACAGGGATTAGGCATGCGACAATCAACATAGAAACCGCTACGCACTTAATCTCTGTTCAATCAGATAACATTGTCAGCGCTATGAATTTTAAGTTAGAAAATTTCTACAAAAACATTATTATCATTTATAAATTCTTCATTTTTATAATAAGCTTTTTTACAAAGAAAATAATTTATAACACATTTGAATTTTTTTTCTGGTAAATTGAGTACAGTTTGTTGTAAAACCTTACGCAATTTCCATAAAACGAATTACTAACGTAGATATAGTATCAAACATAAACATTTGATCAAAATACTTTTTTTTAATAAAATGTTAGTAATATAATAGAATAGAATAGAAAATCATTTATTCAAATAAACTTACATTGAAGCACTTTTGAATAGTCATTACATTTTTTTAATCTACCGCACATTCGGAAATCTGTCTCATCACAAGAAGATCGAGCAAGAAACTTGCGTCTTGCTCTTTTAAATAATTTTATTATTACTTTACATTTTTAAGTTTAAGTGTGTGAATACAAACTACCAATTAGCACTAATTCAATTAAATACTCAAATAGAAAAAATATTGAATACAATTGGTTAAACAATTAATAAGAGGAAATCAGTCATAGTGATTAGAGCAGACCAGTCCCTACAAGCAGCACCCATTGACGAGTATTTGAAATCACTAAGTCAATTTAAGACAAATCTTTCACTATTTTCAAGGAGCATTATTCAAGAGTGATGAATGTATATAATACTAACTTTTACTTGCGCTTCGCTCGCGTTAATTTATCCCCTTAGGGGTGGAATTTATCAATATCCTTTCCTAGGGGATGCCTACATCATAGTAGCTTTATGCATGCAAAGTCTCAGCCCGATCGGTTTAAAATTGACAAAGTTTCATACAAACCTTCATCCCCTATTTTATCCCCTTGGGGGTAGAATTAATAGAAATCCTTCCTTAGCGGATGCCTACGTCATAACATCTACCTGCATGCCAAATTTCAGCCCGATCCGTCCAGTCACCTTTGAGTTATATATATTTAGATTCTTTGACATATTCTTTTTGTTACTTTCTATTATATATCGCTGTCATACTAGTCGCATTTATTGCATCTCCATATTTTCCTTATCAAAACCCTCAGCACCTCTCACTCATCAGACACATTAGTAACCTCCGCTTCATTACATAGTATAAAACAAAGTCGCTGTCGCTATCCGTCCCTATAAGCATACGCTTAAATCTTTAAAACTACGCAGCGGATTTTGAACCGGATTTTTTATAGATAGAGTGATTCAAGAGGAAGGTTTATATGTATAATACATGTACTCCCGGGCGAAGCCGGGGCGAGTAGCTAGTCACACATATTTTACGGTCCACGATGGGTAATAAATGGTAAATATGAAGTGGTAGTCTCTACAACCAGTCGATTTAGTACCTCAAACCATTTGTCAACATTTTGAAATCAAATTACGTAACCGTAGGTACATGTCAGGCTCTATTAGCATAAAACACGGATTTGCTCGCGAAATCAGAATTTTATATTGCCCGCTTTCAACTCGAATAACACTGCATTAATATTCAGTAGCTTAAGGTTCAAAATACTTTATCAGAATTACAAATGATTCGATTCCGATAACGTTTTGTTACCTACACTAATTTAAAGAAAAATAAAATTTTGTACGTTTGTTTGTTCGGGGAAATCTCCGGTTTTACTATGTTAAGGTATTTTTAAAGAGCACATACGAAAAAATACTTTTTATTAAACACACAAAAACGGACAACTGAATTTTTTAAAATATCTTTTAAGACCAAAACTGCACAGAGTAGTGCATAATAACAAAAAAAAACAGATAAATAAGATAAAGCTTTCTGCCACTGTACACACACCATAGATTAAAAAATGAATGACACAATATTTAATAAACAATATACAACATTATCCACGAATGTTTTAAGCTATATAACATCACGCTACGACCAATAGGAGCGGAGCAGAAATGAAAAATGTGGCGACAAATATACAAGTCCGTGCGAAGCCAGTAAATAAATATTTTGAGTTGGAAGGCTGTTTTAAATAATAATAATTCAATCAAACGACTGCCTCGGTGGTCTAGTGGTTTAACACACCGCCTTACTGCCGATGGTCGCGGGTTCGATTCCTCGCACGGCGCAAACATTTGTGAGTATATTGTTTGTGTCGGTCTAGATGTTTTCTATATATATGTATGTATTTACGAAAAAATATATTTATTTGTATCAGTTATCTAGTACCCATAACACAAGCTTTAGCTAGCTTAACTTGGATCTATATGGTGATGTGTGAATTGTCCTGAGATTATTATTATTATTATTTAATCAAGGCCATTATGACACGCGGACGAAGTCGAGGGCACAGCTAGTGGTCAATAAAATAGCAAGCAATAACTCTGCATTGTTTTCTACAGATAGTAAATTCACTCTCATTTCTTGCGCGCTTGTTTCGCGTATTTCATAAACACAATGTTTCACTATATTGATATTTATCTGTCTGTTTACCTCATCTACTAAATAACAATCTCTTTAGTAATATGTTACAAACATAATTCTACAATAGTGACTGTTTCATATGTCTTTACAATGTCTAAGACGGGGCGGTGAGAGGACTGTCGGATGTGGACCAATGATCCACTAGCTAGCAATGTACCATATTATTTTGACCTCTACGGTTCTTCCTGGAAGCCACCGTGATAAATTATTGGTGAATTCACCACAATGCCATACTCATGAATACAAATATTTGTGCCGTGCGAGGAATCGAACCCGCGACCATCGTAAAGCGGTGTGCTAGACCGCTAGATCACCAAGATCGTCATCGATGAATAAATAAACGATCCCAAAAAAGGCAAACAAAAAGTATCATCGTTCTAGCCTCAAAAACTGCAAAAATTGAGTGCCATCTGCACTCGCTCCCTATCGCCTGCTGAAGCTTATTTCGGTCCACTCTAATGCTGTTGGCCGCAGCTGGCCTTTACAGCATCATCGAACGTTAGGGGACGAGTGCAGATGGCACTCCAAACCAAAGGAAAGACTTATGGAGCGGCTGAAGGCCAACTTCCGCCTGACGGATACGACTTTAGTCTGAGGGCACCACTAGGGATCGAACCGTTGTAATTTCGATCCCCGTTCGAATTGGACGTAGGATCGATCGGAGGGGCACAATTTTGGCTCCTATAATTCGAGCACACAGACGTACTCGCTAACGTTAACATCGCTACATTAGAATTGATGTTATTTATTATTATTTACTAAAGCTATATCATCATCATCACCATCACCATCATCACCATCATCATCATCATCATCATCGTAACCTACATGGAGAGGTTATTGCGGACAGTTTGTCATAATTGGTATTGTTATAGAGTCGTAAAGTTACAAAGCCGCTCAAGTGAAAAGTGCATCTGTTGAGTAACTGTTACGTAAGGGATATAGAATCTAATGGAGGCAAGTAGTTGTGGATAAAATTTCATTAAGTTAAACATAAGTATTAATATTACACTAGTAGTTATTGCAGACACTAAGTCAGATGCGGTTTTTATAACTCTAAGGATAGAATAGAATAGAATATTTATTACAAGCACACGTCACGACACAACAAAGACGATCTCACAGCAGCATATAAAAGAT